GACTATACTACCAGCATTATCTTTGCAACACCTAAAGAGAGGAGCTCACCTTGACTTATGTCTTACATGGTCTTGCAGTTGAATAAGAAGATAGTTGATTATAGCTTTATTGACTGTTACATTCAACAAATGCTAAATTTGCTTTGGGACAGACTCTAGATTTATATTATTAGAAGTTCTTTTTTCACCAAGTATTTTATTAGATGTCATTCATTGGAGAGTGTGCTGGCAATTAAACATAAGTAGTCCATGTCTTCAATGATTATTTCTAAAGACCTAATAAAAGGAACTATTCCCTGACTTTCTATCCCTGTAACATATCCAATAATAGTTTCTTTTTCATTATTTGAAATGTCTGTTTGTTCCAGTACACCCCACCCTTATTCTTCTTCAGACTCCAGAATTCCATGTGATTCAGCCAGATGCTGAGCCCTGGTTCATTATTAAACTAGTGCTGCAAGTATTTTAGAGGAAAACATTTTAAAAGTGGAAGTGGTTATTGAAAAATTTGTACTTTACAAATAATTGGAGAGAGAGATGGACATCGGTTTCTTGTTTTGTCTACTTGGAAAAGCATAAATCTGTCTGTGCTAAACCAGCCTTCTATGTGGCAGTTAATTGTTAAATCTGTTGACAGATTAGTAAAATTTATGCTCTAGAGAGCAGTCAGTCTGATATTTGTCAGTTATAATTGACAGAAAACATGTTAATTCAGCAGACCTCCAGAAGCGATATAAATATCCTTATTTAAGATGAACACACCACCATTAATTGATTCTTTTATTTACCAGATAGGTAAAAATCTATAACTACATCATATGGGCTGTTAGTATGTTCATTTTTAAAGGGATAGTAAGCCAACATTAAATTCAGCAGACCTTTAATTACATTTTGGTTTATACAGTCAGTTCAAAAATCACTTGTGAATGTTCATAAGGCTAAAAAGTTTGACTCGTTTCTAGTGTTGGAAAAAATGGAAAGCATTGGAACATCTTTCAGGTTTCTGGGGAGGTACAGGTAATTGGTTGATAGTAGTACCATAGTTACATTGTTAGGTTAAGTCACTAAGAAGACACTAGTTCATCTAGTTCAGGGGTCTGCAACCTTTAAGACATAAAGAGCCACTTGGACCCGTTTCCGAGAGGGAAAAAAAGACTGGGAGCCGCAAAACCATTGCAACATTTAAAACAAATCCGACACTGCATATATTGCAAAAAGCGCTCTGATCATGAAGGGGGTTTAAGGGCCCAGTAAGCAAAGGGTTAATCAGGGCAACAGTGTATCGTCATAATCACAATCATAGCCTTAGGTCAGTGGTGGGCAACCTTTTTTTTCAACTGAGCCAAATCTTGCCAAAACCACGATTGAAATTTATTTTGAGAGAAATATTTTTAAAACTGAAAATACATCCCCCATATAGTAATTCATCCCCCATAGTAATTCATCCCCCATAGTAATTCATCCCCATATAGTAATTCATCCCCCATAGTAATTAATCCCCCATATAGTAATTTATCCCCCATATAGTAATTCATCCCCCCTATAGTAATTCATCCCCCCTATAGTAATTCATCCCCCATATAATAATTCATCCCCCATATAGTAATTCATCCCCCATATAGCAATTCATCCCCCATATAGTAATTCATCCCCCATATAGTAATTCATCCCCCATAGTAATTCATCCCCCATATAGTAATTCATCCCCCATAGTAATTCATCCCCCCTATAGTAATTCATCCCCCCTATAGTAATTCATCCCCCCTATAGTAATTCATCCCCCCTATAATAATTCATCCCCCATAGTAATTCATCCCCCATATAGTAATTCATCCCCCCTATAGTAATTCATCCCCCCTATAGTAATTCATCCCCCATAGTGTAATTCATCCCCCATATAGTAATTCATCCCCCATATAGTAATTCATCCCCCATAGTAATTCATCCCCCATATAGTAATTCATCCCCCATATAGTAATTCATCCCCCATATTGTGTCAATTCACTTACCTTTGCTCCGCGCGTTCCTCTCGCTGTGTTCCCGCGCCGTTCTGGTCTTCAGGGCGGACTGTGAGAGGAGAGGAGTTCGTCACGCTGCCCCGCCTACATCCTGACAGCCAATGTTTGCCAGCGGGCGCCCGGCACACAGAAGAGCTGCATTAAAAGAGCCGCGGCTTGCCGACCCTATTGCCTGTCACCTGGTGGGCAGTGTGCTCCGGAGCCGCAGGAAAGGTGAAAAAGAGCCGCATGCGGCTCCGGAGCCGCGGGTTGCCGACACCCGATCTAGTTCAACCAATAAAAAAAAATACATCTCTTCTCAAGAGAGAATAAATTCAGTTCAGCTAATCTTTCCTAAACTCCCCAATGCCTCTTATCAGTTTGGTTGCCCTTCTCTCCAGGTCTCCGATATGCTTTTTGTGAACTAGTGCCAAAAACTTAACTGTGTATTCCAGATTAGGTTTTGCTAAATGATTTGTACAGTGGCAAAATTATATCTCTCTGTCTCTGGAATATATACCTGTATACTAAGAAAGTATTTTGCTGGCTTTACAAACTGCAACTTAGTAGTGCATGTTATTTTTAAGTCTGATCTACACGAACACCCAGGTCTTTCTTCACTATTGACTCCCCTGATTGTTCTCCTAATGTGTATGATGCATAGATGTTTTAGCCCCCCAAGTGAATACATTTAGATTTATCAACATTAAACCTCATTTGCCACAAGTTACCCAATTAAATAGTGCATCATGAGGTACAGCTTGTAAGTTGGAGACTTCCTTTTGAGGACATAATCCCACTACATAGCTTGGTGTCATCTGCAACACTGAAATTGTACTTTTGAATAGTTAGAAAGTAAAGGTCCAACACTGAATCCTATACTGGGGTACATTACTAATATCTTTAGACCATTCAGAGTATGAATATTTATTCACTACTCTTTTAATGCTATATTTTAGCTAGTTTTCTAATAATTTGCAAACTGAATTTTCAAAGCCTTTAGACTTTATTTACACATCAGCCACATATGGGCAAGTGTGTTAACCACTTTGGCCAAATTCAAATATACTACATTCACAGCCACTTATTTGTCTAAGTTTTTCTTATCTCTTTAAAAGAAATCAGTTTTTTTTTTTTTTACAACTTTGGTCTTTTGTGAATCCATGCTGACTGTTGCTTAAAATATCTTTTTTGTGTGTTATTTTATTAAACTCTCCAGTAGCTTCCCATTTATAGAATTTAAGTTAACTGGTTTAAAGACCTTGATCCCTTTTGAAATATAGGCACCACATTGGCCTTACACCAATCTGTACATGCCATTCATTAAAGAGTCTCTAAAATTAGAAACAATGGCTTAGAAATAACAGAGTTCAGATCTTTGAGGACCCTTGGGTGTACGACATCTGATCCAGGTGCTTTATTCACCTTTATTTTGTCGAAATGTTTCTGGGCCATATTAATTACGAGCCAATGTGGGTCATTTGGGGCTATGTGAGTACAATTCCTGTCAAAGACTTGAGCTTCCCCATTTTCTTTTGTACACAGAGCTAAAAAAGGTGTTCAATACTCTTGGCTTTTCAACATCCCCAGTAGCCAACTCAAAATTATCTTGTAAATTAATAGTGATGATAGACTGTGGAAAGTCAAAAAACCGGTATGTTTTATTAATCTGAATTAAAGAAATGTCAGGTGTTCAAATAATTACACAATTTCCATATAAAGGTAATTGTGATTTAATAAATTATATGGTTCTTCAAAAAATGGACAGTTCTGCAGTACAGCAATAATGAAAAAAGCTGCTGATCTGCATGATCTTGAAAAAAATTTGCTCATCGATAGCTAGACATTCAACCCCTTTCATGCCCCAGTGCTGGAATGATGCACATTACATTTTTATATTCCAAAGGCTGGAGTGATACTTTTTTTTGTGAATAGGTTTGCCTCAGCCCTGAGACCAAAAAATCAATGTGAACCCCGTAAAATAAGGAACAAAGCCCAAGACATGGTAAAGACAGCCATTGTGTTTCTTCTCAAACGTTATTATTTATTAGTAATAATGAATACTAAGTACTATATTACTAATGATATGATTAAGTTCTCAGGACTCCTTAAACATTAGATCTTTGTAAACTGATGATTTGTTGGAAATTGTTAGGCATAATTTAAATTAATTGTAGAATTGAACTAAATGGCTTAATACTAATAGCAACCTGAGCTTAGAAGTTCAGCAAAAGCAACGAGAATGATTCCCAAAAATAACAGGAGCCATGCAGTTAAATTTTGATTTTGTATGCAAGCATACCTCTAAGAGACTGGGTTCTAATCAACGCTGAAATTCTAAATATGATTTCGACATCTGGATTTCACAAGTGTGTGCACCTGTTTTTCTCTATCCACTTTTTAGACAATGCTGTTCCCTTTCATTTACAAAACTGAGCTTGCATCTTGGAAGTGTTGAGATATTAAAAATCAACTAGTTCAGAGGTAATTCATTAAGCTGTTAAGCAGCTGTTCTAGCTGTATTCAGCAGATACATCCCATTGACTTCAATCATCCCCTTAGACCAGAAAAGGCCTGAATGGCCAATTAGTAGTTTAATGAAAAAAGACCCATTACCGCTTGCATTATTGGCTTATTTATGAGCATGAAATACATGGCTGCTAAACATCTTTTACAGATTACCAATGGCAACAACTCCTTGTGGGCTTGAGGCCAATATCCATGAGTAGAGTTCAATTAGCTTTCATATGCAATACTTCTCAAGGGTTTGAATTAAGATCATGCACTGCATTTCCAGGTCACTACTTCCCTAATGTGCTCACTCTTTTTGTCCTTATCTCATACTGATGTACCATTTTTATTGATTTTCTTCAAACAGACCTTGTCTTTTTTTTGTGTTCCCAATTTTATAACATTTAATACAAACATAAAGAAATATAACAGATGCTTCCTGTTAATGGAAAGCCACAAATAGTCACACCCTGTGGCCTCTTTAAAGTGTGACTAAACTCACAACAGTAAAATCAGTCTGTATATGCAGCAAAGCATGCTTGTTATACTCATTGTGGAACTTAAGGGGTTAATCCTCTGCATTGTGTAAAAAGGATTCTGTCTTCTCTGATCCTCCCCTACTTCCACATTCCCCATTTCGTCTCCTGATAAACAGAGCCTCGGGGACACTCTGCACATGATCAGTTTGGTTTGTACTGCCAGAGAGAGTTTTTTCTTTTTCTTGGGAGGGTACATGTGATCAGCACAGGGCCAATCAACACTGTCCAGACAGAGGGTCAGGGGTTCTGAAATCTCATAGGACAGTGAGAGGAGAATGAAAACTCCTCCTACAAGATTTAACCAGTGCTCAGTTGGACTCTTGAGTCTCAAGACCGCTCTAACCACTGATGGGAAAAGGTTTTTAGCAGTTTATATTTACTAACATAATTGCATTCCATGTTTTGTGTACTGTGGGAGACCAGATAATGTGAATGCAGGGTCCTGGGTTTGGTAACACTTCAAGGAGCTGAACTCTAGGACAAAATCGAAAATATGCAGTTGAAATACATTTTATTTTCCCCAAAAATTTTAATTCTGCTTGGGTAGTTATGTGATCCAGGTACCCCTGACAGCACTGTCACATATGTGATCTTCCTGCTGACTACAATTATGTTAAACAGTACAGCTTAAGTAAGTGGTTGGACTCTGAAGGGACAGGGGCACCTTGTTACAGTCATTCAATATATATTTATATATTATACGGTGTACATATATACTGGAACGAGTGCTCCAATATACACAGTGTTGTATGATATATAGTAGGGCTCAAAATGTCAAGTCCTGAGCTATTAGCCAGGACGTAAGAGTTACCAGTTGCCCCACTCGACCCCTAACCTGCCCCACCCCTAATTCTGCCTCTAAACACGCCCTCTTAAATTATGTCATGAAATGGCACTGTTAAATGTTTTATGCACATTGAAGGAAGGGAAGGAAGAAAGGAAATGGAAGGAAGGGAAGGGTGGAAGGAAGAAAGGGAGGGAGGGGTGGAAGAAAGGGGAGGGAAGAAGGGAGGGGTGGAAGGAAAGGAAGAGTGGAAGGGAGGGGTTGAAGGAAGTGAGGGGTGGAAGGAAGGAAGGATAAGAGGAGTGGAAGGAAGGGAGAGGTGGGTGGAAGGAAGAAACAAAGGAAGGGAAGGGTGGCTGGAAGGAACATAGGGAAAGGTGGAAGGAAGGGTGGGTGGGTGTAAGGGAAGGTTTTAAGGAAGGATTGGAGGGATAAGTGGAAGGAAGGGGTTGGTGGAAGAAAGGAAGGGAGGGGTGGGTGGAAGTAAGGGTTGGAATGAAGGAAGGGTGGGAGGAAGGGTGGATGGAAGGAAGGAAGGGGTGGGTGGAAGGAAGGAAGGTAGGTCAGACTCACATGCTCATTCAGAAGCATCAGAACTGTAGGCTGCTGTGCTCAAATTTCCCACCCACACATCCTCTGAAGCTGCACGGACTGGAGTGTAGGCGGGCACAGGGGGAGGCAGAGCAGATCCAGCCTCTCTCTCCTTCTCCTCCCTCCTTCTTTGATGAAGCAGCTGAAGGCTGAAGGCTGCAGGAGTGAGAGGAGGAGAATCAGCTTCTTCATTGAAAGTCATACAGGAGATCGCTGCTTGTCACCTCTGCACATATCATACCTGATCATTCCATTTCTTTCTTGCCCCCCCCATGTGCTCCTCAGTGCCCAGTCTCCTATTGATGCACTGGATAGGGGGAGGGGCTGGGGGCCAGGAAAGAAACGGAACTATCAGGTATGATTTGTGCAGAGGTGACAAGCAGCTGTGTTCAATTTCCCACCCACACATCCTCTGCAGCTGCACGGACTGGAGTGTAGGCGGGCACAGGGGGAGGCAGAGCAGATCCAGCCTCTCTCTCCTTCTCCTCCCTCCTTCTTTGATGAAGCAGCTGAAGGCTGCAGGAGGGAGAGGAGGAGAATCAGCTTCCAGCTTCTTCATTGAAAGTCATACAGGAGATCACTGCTTGTCACCTCTGCACATATCATACCTGATCATTCCATTTCTTTCTTGCCCGCCCCCCATGTGCTCCTCAGTGCCCAGTCTCCTATTGATGCAGTGGATAGGGGGAGGGGCTGGGGGCCAGGAAAGAAACGGAACTATCAGGTATGATTTGTGCAGAGGTGACAAGCAGCGATCTCCTTGTATGACTTTCACTGAAACAGCTGGAAGCCTCATCTCCTCCTCTCCCTCCTGCGGCTTTCAGCTGCTTCATTGAAAGCCATACAGGAGATTGCTGCTTGTCACCGCCCCCATTGCCACCCCTCCCACACACCCCTAGTCCCGACGCCGTTCGCCCCCACCTTATTTCCGCTCTCCCAATGCAAGCGGTTGAGTAGAAATTTTGAGGGATGATATATAGTATACAATAATGCAAAATACACTTTGCTCTATATTATATAGTATATACAGTCCAATATACACTGTGCTGTATGTTTTATAGTATACTCAACTTTGATATGCATTGTACAGAATTTATCAAATTTGAAGCAGGCAGAATCTGGAGTAGCTGTGCATGGTAACCAATCAGCTTCCATCTTTCACTTTTAAAACTTAAAGTTGTTGTAAAGGCTCAATGTTTTTTCATACATATATTTGTTTCAAGGCTTTTTACCTTCATGCATTTTATGTGCCATGTTTCTGGCATTAATTCCTCTTGCTAATGTTTTGTTCCAAATTCATGAAGCACTTGCAACACTTTTGGTTCTGACAGCGACTCATGCACCAAATGCAAGCACTTCTAAAATACACCACTTTTACATTGTGAAACATAGAATTCACTAAATTAAAAATTAAATACCAACAGCTCATATCTTACAAAAATGAAGCTTATTAGGACAAACTCTTGTTTGGCATACAGAGATAAACTGGTCCAGACAGGTTTTGTGAATGTATCTCACATGCATCTTAAAAGTGGCACAGCATGCACCAAATTTAAGTACAAATTCTAGACAGGTACATGAATTTGGCACATGCTCAGGGGCGAACTGACCATTTGGAAACTCGGGCACTTCCCGAGGGCCCGGGATCAGTAGGGGGCCTCATGAGATGCCCCTGGTACCTTTTTCATAGGCTTTTTTGAGTTTGGGCAAGGACACAGGGGCCCCATGATCCCCTATTGCTCGGGGGCCCCATGAGTTGTCAGTCTGCCCCTGCACATGCTGCACCACTTTTAGAATGCATGAGAGACACTTTCAAAAAATCTCTCTGCACCAGTCTTTATGAATTCTAGGGTCTGTTTTTTCCAGTTTTGATACATTCCCCCATTGTGTTTTACACACTCTTCTGATATAACACACACATTTAAAAATGCACAAGAAACTCCAATCAAGCCATATCCTAACATCATGAATTATTCTGTACATGAATAGGCACTGATACTATGAATGAATATTACAGTAGCTTCTATTGAATATGTACTAAAATGATAACCATTTATGTGCAAACCATGCAGCTTATTGTAATGGTGACAGGATATTAATTAAAGCTGATTATAAGCTGGCATTATTCAGTAATGGCACATACAGCAATGTGGTATATAAAAAGCAACTTTGGCAAACAGAAAACGATTGCTCACTTTTGTGAGTAAAAGCAAGTATGGCTCCTGTAACCTCTGTGTCCACCGGACACAGCAGATTACTTTTACAGGTACTCGGGTATCATGTGATCACTATGATTGCTCATAGCAATCACATGATAACAAATTAACAATGTAAGCAACCTGTCATGAACGGCTTTCCATTCATGAACAGCTTGCTTACTGTTGTGATCTGTGATTTGCCCACAGCAATCACATAGTACCTGGCTACCTGTACCAGGTGATTAGCTATAGCCAATCAATGATCACAACCATAACTATTATTATTATACAGGATTTATATAGCTCCAACAGTTTTCTCAGTGCTTTACAATATAAGGGTAGACAATACAGTTCAATACAAGAGGGTCAGGAGGGCCCTGCTCCTTGGAGCTTATAATCTAAGAGGGAGGGGCTAGTGGTACAAAAGGTAATAACTGTGGGGGATGGACTGGTAGGAGGAGTAGAAGATTCCATTATTAGCTAAGGCAGGATAGGCTTCCCTGGAGAGAGAGGTTTTCAGAGATCACCTAAAAGTGGGCAGAGTAGGCGATAGTCTGATAAATTGGGGTAGAGAGTTCCATAGGATGGGGGAGGCTCTGGAGAAGTCCTGGAGATGAGCATGGGAGGAGCTAGAGAGCAGGAGGTCGTACAAGGATCGGAGAGTACAGTTTCGGTGATATTTGGAGACAAGATTGGTGATGTAATTTGGGGCAGAGTTATACATGGCTTTATATGTTATTGTTAATGTTTTGAATTGCAGAGCCCTGTCTGACAGGACAGGAGACCTAATTATTCTCTACTACAGTTTAGTAACTCTTATGGGTCTCTTTCTCAACCTGTGAATGGACAGTGAAAATAGTAGCAGCATGCAGTAGAGATTCAGTCACTCTGCTCTCCCCTCCTGTCAGCACTACTGTGCAACTGATTAGGTTATTTTGTTGCTTCTTTCTGTCCCAGTCTGAGCTCTGTACAGGGATTTCAAGAGGATGATACCAGGTCAATATTGGGTACTTACACTGCTCCTGTTTGAAAATAAAATACATTTTAGAATGTATTCAGGAATACAGAGCTGCATGAATTGGTGTCATATTTGCCTGGAGTTCTGCTATAATTCTAATATAATATATAATATATAGATTACTACACTTCCACATAGCACTTTGAGCAACATAATAAGGCAATCTAGAATTTCCAAACAAATCTAGAAAGATATAATAACAATAAAATAGATAAACTAAAATATCACTGATTGGGTGGGGATTTTTCTTTTTAAAGGGAACCCATGAGGAGAGAAATATTATTATTATTATACAGTATTTATATAGCGCCAATAGTTCTCTCAGCGCTGTATGTCAAATATGTCTGTCATCTTTTCCCTTTTAAATATGAACTCCAGCAAATTCTATTTTCAGTTTTGGGGTAGGCAAGGATCAGGATCTGTCTCCCCCCTTACTTCCTTTACTAGAAAATGGGGTGGATTAACAAGAAGCAGGACTATCCCTTCCCTTCTAGCAATTAGATGTCTGTGAGCTCCCTCATTGGCACCAGTGTTTGCTCGGTTCTCTTCCGTGTTCGGAATCTTCGGTCCTATTGATTGGCTGTGCCATAATGATGCACCTCAAAGCACCTATGGCACTCTACCGATGCCAGAATTATACATTGCCAAGAACATTGTGAATGGGCAAGCAAGAATCCTTGATTGCAGAAGAGACATGAATGGAGATTTACTAAGACTAGTGTACACAGAATCTAGTGCAGCTGTGCATAGTCAACAGTCAGCTTCTAGGTTTTCAGCCTCATGCACACAGGATGTTTTTGAAAAACGCTTTTCCTGTTGGCAGCAGCATTTTAGAAGAGAAAA